TTTTTTGTCAACAAATTTTTAAAATATTTCGGAATTAAGGTAAAAACTACTTAAATAATTTATTATTAAAAATAATCCTAATAATAAACAAGTAAGAAATTATAGTCGGGCGAGGCCGACCATACCCTACACCTGTTACAAAAATAAAATGTGATTTGGTTTTCATAATTAAGCATTTAAGTTGAATTGTACCTCGCCTCAGAAATACTTAAGCCATTTATTGTTGAATAAAATTGTGGACATTTAAGTCAAAATTTTGAAGGGGGCTTTGTATAGGGCTATGGTCAAATGAGACCCTATAATTATAAAATTCATGAGAGTCATCAAGGCTAGTATAGAACTTGGTTTTGTAGCCTTTTGTCGAGATACGAGTATATTAAACATAATTATGAACTTAAAAGCACTATTCAGGGGTTCGGTTGTATATAAACTTATAAACTCTAGTATTACGATGAAATTCTGCATAATTAACTTTAATGTTAAAGTAAATCCCTGTATTAAAATTTATAAGGATAGACCCATATTTCCCCTTGCCCCCATAAAATTTCTATTTTATAAAATAACTTTTTTGTCAACAAATTTTTAAAATATTTCGGAATTAAGGTAAAAACTACTTAAATAATTTATTATTAAAAATAATCCTAATAATAAACAAGTAAGAAATTATAGTCGGGCGAGGCCGACCATACCCTACACCTGTTACAAAAATAAAATGTGATTTGGTTTTCATAATTAAGCATTTAAGTTGAATTGTACCTCGCCTCAGAAATACTTAAGCCATTTATTGTTGAATAAAATTGTGGACATTTAAGTCAAAATTTTGAAGGGGGCTTTGTATAGGGCTATGGTCAAATGAGACCCTATAATTATAAAATTCATGAGAGTCACCAAGGCTAGTATAGAACTTGGTTTTGCAGCTTTTTGTCGAGATACGAGTATATTAAACATAATTATGAACTTAAAAGCACTATTCAGGGGTTCGGTTGTATGGGGGCTAGGCGAAATAATGGGCCGATCTTAACCATTTTCAATAGGCTTCGTCCCTGGACCAATAGATGATAATGTGTGAAATTTCATTGAATTATTTTCAAAATTGCGACCTGTGGATTGATTACAAGGTTTACAAGGACGGACGGACATAGCTAAATCGACTCAGAAAAGGATACTAAGCCGATTGGTATACCAATATTGGGCATAGGACCAATATTATTGTGCGTTACAAACATCAAATACCCTCCCCACTAAAGTGGTGTAGGGTATAAACATACACTCTAGTGTAGGGTATCATATGGTCGGCCATGACCGACAATACATTCTCACTTGTTTATGAAAAGAGAAGTTTTCAAAATATTCTATGAATGAAGAAATTTTTTAAAATTTAAACATACTGCTAAACGCTGAACGTACCTTATCACACCTTTCAAATATTTGAAAAATACTTTAGAATCTAAAGTGATAATTTCAAAGAGAGTACTAAGTCCGGTCCCTAATCCCTAAAACCAATCACGTGCATGGATTTGTATTTTAATATCACTCTGTTATATGTATTTCTTTATTATAAAATTCTATTATGATGTTGAATTTTAGCATTTTTTTTGGTTTAATAATTATCTTGTTTTGAATTTTATTTACATTTTATGATATTAGAAAAACTTAAACAAAATAATGATTATAAATTTTGTTAAATCTTATAATCTTCAGAAAAATAAAAAACGCATATAAAGTTTAAGATAATACAAAAAAGCTGTTTTCATTGCGTGATTACTACAAGAGATCTTACATACAAAGAACTTAATTTCTCCAAACTGAAATACAACAGGAAATCTACAGGATCTAAAATGAATAATATTATGAATAATGTTTTCTTTAAACAAATGTCCAATATAAAAACTACTCTCACTTACATATAAAGCTATCTTATTATCAATGACCACAAAAACCGGAAGTTTATTATATAATGATGGCAACCCTCTTCTTCTTTTATATAAAAATGTAATTTGTCAGTTATTGTTGTTGTTGTATACATCGTAATGTATTATTCACACATTTTTGACGTATAATTGTACAACAAAGTGTATTATTGTTGTGTTAAACATTTATTTTTGTAAATATTTGACCCATATTTCGTTTGTATTGTAAGTGAGGAAATTTAATAGAAAATTAAATAACAATTATATATATATTTATAAAACTGGAATGTCTCTTTTTTAAAAATATCTTTTACAATAAATACTAAGAAAAATAAATACTGCTATAATGTTAGACTAAATATGTATTGTACATGCAGTGAATCAACTAAGTTTTTTGCCTACCTTTTTTTAAAAGAATTTTGTTTTTTGTTCATAAATAAAATTCAAAAAACAGGTAAAAAGTAAATTTATGTTTTCTAATTGAAAATAGAGATTGTGTAGTATGGGAAAACCAAGAAAAATATTAAAATAAAAATTTTGGTGCATTTGTTGTTGCATTTTATGATTTTTCATCAGAATTTGCACGTCAATAAAGTATTTTGCATATTGAAATTTCCAGTTAATTTCGTTGGGGTTTTCAAATTATTTCTTAATTGCTTTTTGGAATTTATTGTTTTATTGTTAAAAGGACACGTGTTAAGTATTTATACCCTACACCACTTTAGTGGGGAGGGTATATTGGATTTGTGCTGATGTTTGTAACGCACAATCATATTGGTCCTATACCCACCTTAAAGTATACCAATCGGCTTAGAATCATTTTCTGAGTCGATTTAGCTATGTCCGTCCGTCTGTCCGTCCATGTAAACCTTGTAATCAAACTACAGGTCGCAATTTTGAAGATAATTCAATGAAATTTGGCACATGATCTTCTATTGGCCCAGGGACGAAGCCTATTGAAAATGGTTAATAGCGGTCCATTATTTCACCTAGCCCCCATACAACTGAGCCCCCGAATAGGGCTTGTAAACCTTTTAATCAAACTACAGGTCGCATTTTTGAAGATAATTCAATGAAATTTGGCAGATGATCTTCTATGGTACCGGAGACGAAGCTTATTGAAAATGGTTAACATCGGTCCATTATTTCACCTAGACCTCATACAACTGAAAACGACGAATAGGGATTTTAAGTTTATAATTATGTTTAATATACTCGTATCTCGACAAAAAGCTGCAAAACCAAGTTCTATACTAGCCTTGATGACTCGCATGAATTTTATAATTATAGGGTCTCATTTGACCATAGCCCCTATACAAATCCCCCTTCAAAATTTGACTAAAATGTCCACAATTTTATTCAACAATAAATGGCTTAAGTATAATTTAAGGCAAGGTGCAATTCAACTTAAATGCTTTATTATGAAAACTAAATCACATTTTATTTTTGTAACAGGTGTAGGGTATTATATGGTCGGCCTCGCCCGACTATAATTTCTTACTTGTTTTCAATTGTAATTTTCAAAAATCATATCCTTATTGTGTAAAACTGTGTAGTTATTTGCGTTAAAAATGTTTAAAGGGAAATAATGAGGCAATTCCAATATAAAAAAATAGTTTAGATTTTTAGAACAAGTATAAATCAATGAAATTCAATTATGAGATGTTTAATCAATCATTAAAAATATATAAAATATAGAAATTGATGAAATAACACAAAGAATTATTAAAAAAAAACGCACTGAGTTGTCTTTCAAAATCTTTAACTGCCAAAGGAGAGCGACTTGTATCCAAGCAAAAACCATTGAAGTCCTCATTTATCTTCTCCAAAGTCCATATACGAACTTAAATGAACACTATGTTTAAATTTAGACCTCTAAACAGACCTTAGGTTGCTTGGAAACAATATAAACTGAACTATCATGTGGTACGGGAAAAATACTTAATTTAGATATTTACAAATAGAGGCGGTTCTCATCACCTAAGATCCACCAAAGCAATATTTTACAGCTAATACATACACTTATATATAGTTAGAACCCAAATTAAAATAACTATCCAAATCCAACTACGCCTACTGTATTTTATTCATAAAATAATGCATTCAAAATATGAGGTAGAGTATCAAAATTCTAGCATGTAATAGTTCTATAGTGGTATACGGTGATATCACCATACTTAGAGTGGCTAGGATGGTACTTAGTGTTAGCTTTATTGAATAAGAATCAATATTATACAATTCTAAATAAAATTCACACAGTACTCCCCAAATAGATGGGGTTTCCGTAATGTAGTTTTTGTTTATCAATACAAAATGACCAAAAACCCAGATTTCTGTTATAATCTATAGATTTATACCCCACTAAAATTTTTTTCTAGGTCCAAATCCATTGATTTCCTAATATATCATGTATCCAATTCAAAATTACTTATTATTTTCGAAATTAAATCAAAGAAACGATAGATTTCATGTTAAGTCAAATATTGAAAAATTCATATAATATATAGGATAATAAATGAACAAAAAACCTAAAAAAGCAAAATACTTTATAGACCTTAAAACTTAACAATACGTTCACATTTTATCAAAAATCTCGTTAATTAATATCACGATTTTACTTTTTATGGTAGAAAATTAAAATATAAGATATTCTTTAAAAATTACAACAAACAAATTGCTTTATTTTGCTAAAAATTATTGTTCAGATAAAGTTTTTTCTTAAAATTTATAAAATTTTACATAGGCAAATTACTTAATTGATTCACTGTATGTATGTATTATCTATAATTTGTTATAAATCACTCAAGTAAAAACAAATATGTAATTATAATTATTTAGTCGTTATAACAAACTATTTAAAACCATAATTTAAAATTAAAGAAAAATCTAAATTAAATATTTCAAAAAACCAAGCGCCAAGTTTTTTATATATTCGCAAAACTTTCTTCATTTTCCAAATACAAACATGAGAAAAATGTATTTGACAAAATGTCTTTAAACAAAAGTTTTAAGGGGAGAGCGTATAGAGAGACAGTGAATAAATAATAATAATAATAATAATATTGCAAATAATTTGTATGACAAACTTACCACCACTGGCACCAATGTCATGTAACATGATGCGAGAATTTGTAAAAAATGGCCTCAGAGAGGGTTTAGGTGTTGAACCAATTGACAAACTGTCAATGTCAGGACCGGAATCATCACCCTCACAACACGATAACGATTCAAGCTCTTGAAATAATGCATCCAAATCACGTTCGCCACGTAATGCGGCTGTACCGCGATTTACTTCACCTTCCAATTCTTCGGAGGCTTTGAAACGTTTTAAAAGTGCAAATATTTTCTGCTTAAAATTACGCTGTTGCAGGGAAATGGTCTGAAAAGATATAAATTAGAGATGTTAGAAACACACAAAATAATTAATGCATAAAAAAAAATTTCTTTTAAATAGACATTGTTTATAAACAATTATGAATGTTTTCCAAAAGATTTTATCTTAAGTGACACTTTATTTAATAGGTTCATAATTACACCTGTTTTTTTGTTTTCTTTGTTTTTTCTTTTCTGGTATAATTTATAAATGGTTACAAGTTTCAAATAATACAGTGGTATCATATAATGTGTATGTATATTATATAATTTTATACTTAATTGTATATTGATTAAAAAATTTCTATAATTAATGAAATTTACTTGAAATTTATCAAATATTTTTTGAAAATAAGAAATTTATTAGAATTTGTATTTTTTGGAAAATTTTTTGAAATATAAAATAGAAATTTTTGGATTTTTAAAATTTTAAAAAATATGAAAAATAGATTGTGGAAACAGTTTTTTTAAAAATTAAAATGTTAGGAGATATGGTCTAAAATTTTAAAAATGTTCAAACTTTTTTAAAAAATAGAATATTTATCGAAATTTTTCTAATTTAACTTTTTAACAGGGAGATTTTAAAAACGGAAAAATTTTCCAAAAATATGAAATTATTTTAAAAACCAACAAATTTTCTAAATATTTATGATTTTTTTAACAAATTTGGGGAAAATCTTCAAAATGTTTAAAATTTTTGGCAATTAAAAAAAAAAAATCTGGAAAGTGAAATTTTTTTCAAAACAATCAATCTTTTGACATTTTTTTTAAAAATAGAAAATTTTCTAACATAAAAAAATTAAAAAAAGATATCTCAAAAAATAAAAAGAAAATTTAAGGAAAATTATGTAGAATTTATCAAAATATTCTATAAACAACTAATTTTATTATAGGACACGTTCTTCAGCAGACATTTCCAGTTTTCTACAATAGGTACTTATTGTACGATTAAAGTATTTGCACACTGTAATTTCGAATTTATATAAAAAAAAAACTATTCTATGTTATAAAAGTAAAACTTTAATTATCCTCAATTAATTAAGAACAACACGCACTTAACATAATCCTATTCTCACCTACGCATAACATACTTTTCACAGACACAGTCCCAGCCACATGGATAAAGTTTGAAGTGCCTCCTCCCAATTAACAATACCAACAACAACATTTGCCCACCTTTCACCTTCTCGTCTGCCGAAATAATATATGAGTACAGATAGCTACACAAACAATATGACAGATATAAACATTTTCTTCTTGATACGAGTGTCAAAGTAAAAGTTCATTAGAAATTTTCTATTTGTAGGTTGGCAGGCGATAAAAAGGCAAGCGATTTCGTTTTAGAACGGAAAAATAAAATGTTACCAAAAGTATATTATCAATTCCTTTTGAAAGAACTTTTTCGCTTGCCCTCGCATCTTGGGTGATTTCTATTTATGTTTGTACAAGTTTTTTTTTTGGTTTTTATTTGTTGTTGTCGATGTTTGTTGTTCATTTCCTTGAGATAAGTTCATTAGCTTTTTTAAAATAAAATAAAAACTTTTTAATTTTTTGTACAATTTGTGTTCAAAGACAATTTAACGATTTTTCGGAGGAATATATGCAATACCAGCTATCTTTTATTTTCATGAAAATGAAATGTTGATGCCAAAATATTTGGCAAAAATATTTTTTAATTTTTTCGTAAAAAAAAAAAACAAAAATCGACCATTTTTCAAATTATGTGATATGAGGCTTTAGATCTTTTGTTCTCTTAAAAACTTGTGTTTGCATAAGATAGAGACTTTTGAATATAGTAGCTCAATATAGAAAGGAAAACATGCATGTCTAAAAAAAGAACACATTATTGAAATGAAACAATTAATTTGTATTGTATAATTTATTAATATGTATATGAAAAACCCAATTTCTCTGATTGCTCATTAAAAGTTTTGTTGTTAAAGAATAAATAAATTATTTATTTAATTGTACCACCTGTTGAAATTTTAAGTTAAGAAGAAAATTTATATTAAAAAATGGAAATAAAATTACATCCTTGACATGTTTTATGGTTTCATGAGTGACATATCAATTATTATTTAAATAATTTTTTTTTTATAATTTTTAAGAATTTAGGACATAGGTATACAATGAGTGTATTTTGATTTCCTAAGGACATTGTAGAAAGTTTAATATGTGAATGTTTAAAATATTATTATGTGAATAAACTTAAATGTTATTTATAACTTATACCGCTTTAATCGTTACGTTTAATATTAAATAGTTTACATAATATAGAAAAAGTTAACCCGAACTTTGGGTGCTCAAACTTTTAACTTTATTATTTTATATTATATTTCAGAATTCTAGAAGAGCATGTAACGCTGAGAGTTTGAGAGTTCCAAACAATGTATAAACTTTGAAAATGTATTTTAAACGTTAAAATTGTTTTATTTTACAGGCCAACAAATTTTTAACCCAGAGACTGCACTGAATCCGAATCTGGACTTTATTTCAAAGTTGACATAACAGATTTTATAAATAAAGCTGTCTTAACGCTGTTGTATGGTCTCAAATATGACCAAAATGTTTTTTCATTTCATCACCTGATTTGATGGATAAGTTACACAGGCCGATAAATTTTTAACCCAGAGACCAAAGTATACTTTTCTAACGAATTGAGCCCCGCTGAATCCGAATCTGATCTCAAAACTGCTCGATTAGATTTCTGGGATTTGCTCGAAGATAACTTTATTTATAAAATGTTGTATGCCATCTGAAAGTCCACTCTGTCAAATTGAAAATAAAGACTTAACGCTCGTTATAAACAATATTTACAAAGCATACTACTCTACGCACCGAGAACCATGAGTTTTCAGAGCTGCTAGAATAGATGACATACAACATTTTATAAATATAGTCTTGGCGCTGTTACAACGTCTCAAAAGGGAAAAAATGGCGTTTTCCTAAAATTTAAGGATACGATATCTCAAATCCCAGATGTGATGGAGAAATTCTGGTCAGTGTAACACCTTTTACAGAAAACCAAGTTATTATCACGCCAATAAATGTTTTTAAACATTCAAAGATATTGCTAGTGTCAGAGAAAAATGAGGTGCGACCATTACGAAAATGCCGATTTTTGTATAATAGGTACTAGACCACATGACATAATTATAAGCTCCAAATCCCTTATCGAAAGGTAGGGCTTTTTTGTGGGGTCTAAATGAAATAATAAACCGATTTCAAAAATGTTCAATAGGCCCCTTCCTTGTAAATTTTATATAATTAGGTGGAAAATTGCGGTCTCTAATTTGAATACAAGGTTTAAATAGATGAAAAACCGAAGGATATATCAAAATCGTAAAAATGATTCTGAGCTGAGGTTTACTTTAAGATAGGTTTGGGGCTAATATTTCTATGCGTTACATACATCAGCACCTAATACCCTTCATACAATGGTAGTGGTAATTGTTTTTAAAAATTTATAGAAAAATCTACGCAGTTAGCATAGGTATCAAAACAATAAAGAATTACTAGGACTAGTAAAACCACCCAGGTACCCCTCTATAAACTGTCTTTAAAATCTTAGACCAATTCAAACAAATTTCTATTAGTTGCGATCAATTGAGATTAAAAATATAATTGTTTTCCTCCCTACTGAAGATTAAATTGGACACGCAACGATATTGTTACTACTTATGTATTGAATAAATTCTAAAGGACTGAACATTTAAATACTTTCGCCCCCTAGAGCGTTATAGAAATCCTTGTGTAGACAATTGACAACATCTTAGAAACATCTGCTTTAAGTTTTTTTTTCGTAAACATGTATGTATTTATATACAGTATTTTTTTGTTCATTAAATTTAAATTGTTGTAAACAATTTAAAAATTCTCTTTACTATTTGTAAAATAAAATAAATATATTTAGTATACAACATTTATAATTAATTATATACTGTAAACAGCGAATCGAGTCGCGAATATTTATTGGTTTTTTTTTTTTTCGTCTTAAGAGAAATTAAATTAAACAGAAAGAAATTAAATAAAAATAATTAAATTTCTTGTATTTAAATTGAAATGTAGCAACCAGATCTGGTTGATATTACCTAAAGTTAATGTTGCATTATTAAGCTCAAGCTTTTTTGAAAAATTATTTAAAATATAAATAAATGAAAAATATTTTTAAAAATTGAAAAAAAAAAATGTATTAAAGCAAATCTATGATGAAATGTTTTATCAAGAAATAAATAGATCATTCGCTTTTTAAATTTGCTCGTTATTTATAAATAACGTTGGCTTTCAATATTATTTTCAATTGCGGTTTAAGTGTAGTGCGTTTATATGTTTGTATACGCAAGTTTTGATATAATAGATATGAACTAAAATTAGACATCATTTTTGCACACAATTTTGTTTAAAAGAATTAAAATTTACTCACCCTGCTGATTTTAGCACGTGATGAACTTTTATCCTTCATTTCGAATTCACTATCACTGTCAACGGGATTATTAGCACCTAATGCCACAACGTCTTCAACTTCTGAACGTTGTAATTTACGATATTTGCGCATATCATGCTTGGAAGGATTATAATCGCGTTTTGGATCGTAGCCGGGTATGCCAAGATCATTGGTTTCGTCGTTAAACTCGCCAGAACTGAATTCAGCCTCCTCGTCTTCGTCTGAATATTCAGCAACACGATCTAAACGAATGAAACGTTAAATTATTTTTTTTTTTTTTTTGGATTTCAATTGAATTTTTATTTTTTTTATTATTATATTATTTTCATTTAATATTTTTATAAATGAGTATGTGTTTTGGATGATTAACACTGTATATTTTTTTTTAAGGTTTGACACATGAGCATGAACACACTGATAAATAAATTGCGTTTAAGTACAAAAACAAAAAATGAAGCACAGACATTTAATTAAAAGCAAAACTGAACTGAACAAATTAAGAATTTAATTAAAAAAAAATTAAATTAAAAATTCTAACCGCAACTCGATGATTAATAATTATTTAAATTAAAATTAAATTTTAAGTATTAAACACAACAAGTAGCATTTAAATACTGAAATTTTTAAAAAACTGTTTTTTAAACGCAAAGGAAACTTGTTATTTTTTTGTTAAATAAAATAATAATATTAAACTTTTCATGTTAATTTATAATAATTTAAATTTGGGTTAATATTCGTTTTAATTTGTTGTTTTGTTATTTATATTTGTAATTTTAAAATTTTGTATGCACTTTAATTACTTTTCATAAATTTCTTGAAATTTTTATTTATTATTTTTAATTTTTTCTTGGGATGAATCATATTCATTTGTTTATAGTATTTATTTAAATTTTATTTTACACTAATAGTATTTTTTCTTTCTTTAACAATAATTTCACGTCTTGTTTTTTTTTTTTTCAAGTGAACAAAAAATATACGAGACAACGAACACGTTAATAATTTGTTATTAACTTGGCGCGTACAATCTATCTTAGTGACTGTTATATCTAGTGGCGCATTTAAAACTGATATGACTTCCGTTGAATTTTCTCAATTTTGAAGAAAAAGAAATGTAGTGTGTTTGTACTACAAATTTCATTATCTTTTTGCTACAACCAACAACAACAATATGAAGAGCAACAAACCAATAACACAAATACAATGAAAAATTAATAACAAAAACAAAACCAAATACAATTTACAATAAATATAAACAATAACAAACCAGCAATGCCGCCTCATTTAAAGAAGAAGAAAGTAAAACGTCAGGGCGTCAAATGAGAAAGAAAATACAGTGAGAGTTTAAACTTTTTGTTATTCATTTTTTTTTTTTTGTGAGCGTATAGTACAGATAATCATGAGTATTTGTTATTGTTTTTGTTTTTGTTTTTTTTTTTTTTGTTTTGTATTTTTGTTTTGTTCGATTAAAAATAACAACAACCAAAAACCCATATGAGTACTAGAGTAAGTACATGCATACAAACATGTGTGTTTTATGCACTTACAAATGTATATTATTTAATTAAGCGAATCATCACAATAAAATTCAGTGTTGACAAATTTTTTATTTAACAAAAATCGCTCTTTGTACTTGAAATTATCAGACTGTGTTACTCATTTAGTGCCAAGATGATTTTGCCATGTTCGTCCATCTGTCTGTTGAAAGTACAAAATTTTACCAAAATATTCTGTCAATCAAAGTTTGGTATTTACACCCAGTGTGCTACCCTAAAACCAATATAAACAAGGAAGAAGGTATAGTCGGGCGTGACCTACCATATTGATACCCTAATCATAATTCATAATAAAGCATTTATCTTCAATATTACCTTGTTCCGATACATTTAAGCAATTTACGGATGAAAAACTAATTTTCTGAAAGAGGCTTTATTTATATGGCGGGCTAGGGGCAAATATGGACCAAGCCCGATAAAGTTTTGTGAATATATTTATATTTATATAATATTTATTTGTGCTGAATTTCATAGCGATATTTGTGTTTATAAGTCAATTTTGGACATTTAAGTTATTTTCTGAAGGGGACTTTGTATGGCTGCTAGGGTCAAATGAGGCCCGATCTTCATGAAATTTGGAAAGGTCATCAAGGCTTGTAGAAAACTCAGTTGTGCCGCTTTTTATCGATATACAGGTATATTTAACATAATTATGAGCTTAGAAGCCATTTTCGGGTTCTGTTGTATGGGGGCTAAATAATGGACCGATTTTAACCATTTTCAAAAGCGTGTGTACCAAATTTCATCTAATTATCTTGAAAATTGCGACCTGTACCTTGCGCACAAGGTTTACATGGCCAGCCAGCCAGACGGACGGACATAGCTTAATCGATTCAGAAAACGACGATTCAGAATAGGACGTATGTTACAAACATCAGCACAAACGCAATATATCCTCCCCACTAAAGTGGTGTAGGGTGTAATAAAAAACCAACTTTACGTTTTTTGAAGATTCTAGATATAACAGTTTCTCAGATATACGAAATTTTGCATTTAATTCATATTGGAAATCGCAAGCCCTATTACCAACTTTTCACATGGATGTCAGAGTTCTTCTTGCATAGTTTCCAGATATACGAATTTTTCTACTTAATTCATATGGGAGGTGTCAAGCCTCCTAATAAAAGTCCGCCCATTTTCTCCCAAATGTTCTAGCTCCAGTAGTTTCCTTGATAAAATAATTTCTGTATTTAATTTATATGGAAATGTTCAAATGTTCACATGGATGTCAAAGTTATTCGTGCAAAATTTTAGAATTTTAGCTCTGATAGTGTCTCAACTATACGAATTTTTAAATTTAGTTCATATGGGAACTTTGACACCCATATTGTCAAAGTCTTCCATTAGAAATTTGAGAATTCCCGTTCTTGCAGTTTCTGAGATATGCGACGTTTAATACTTATTTTGTATGTGGGCTTGGCACGTCGCCTACTTGAAATTTTGAAGAAATAAATAGCCTATAGTTCCTTCTAGACATACAGGAATACAATCTTAAAATTTCAGAAAGAGCGGTCTAGCCGTTTTGCTGTGCATAATTTGGAGAATTAGATCTCTTGTTAGAACCAAATAATATCAAGATACGCAAGTAAATTTTTTTAAGTTTAATGGACGGAATTTTCTATGGATATTAATAGATCCATTTCCAGAAACATAGGGGATATTACTTAAGAGCTAAAAAATAGCTACATTGACATTATTGTCATGTTCTTATAGTTAAAATATACACACTCTCACTTAAAACACCCAATGAAGGAGTTAATTTGTTCAGATATATTTTTGTTTTGTTAACATCATTTACATATACACACTCAAAAAAAAAAATCTGTTGCTCTTTATTTAATCTACTTAGTAGATTCTACTCACTGCAATACATACAACAACTTATTAAAAATAATAAGGGAAATGTTAATGTGTGAGTTTGCATTTTAAATAATAATAAATTTAAATACTTTTAAGCCCCTTAAAAAATCAGATAAATTGTATTATAAGTGATTTTTATTTTAAAAATAAACTTTAACATTCATTTTGTTCCACTTTTTCGATATTATTTCAACACAAAGACTTGTTTGTCATCATTTAAGAAAAAAAAAAGGCACTTGTCAACTTTTTCATATTCCCTGAAATATATTTACAACAATTTTCCTTTTAATTTCAAAGAGCTATGTATATAAAATGACTCTTCCTTGACAAGTGTTTTAACACGTTTATCTTTGGGTGGTACTCTTGGTTTACGTGTATGTGTGTGCATTTTCATTTTTCCATATGATTTTTCACTTTCTCAGTTATAGAAGAAATAAAAATATATTTTTTATATATTTTTATTTTTCCACTATTTATACCCTACACCACTTTAGTGGGGAGGGTATATTGGATTTGTGCTGATGTTTGTAACATACAAAAATATTCGTCCTAGACCCACCTTAAAGTATACCAATCGGAATCGTTTTCTGAGTCGATTAAGCTATGTCCGTCCGTCCGTCTGGCTGGCTGTCCATGTAAACCTTGTGCGCAAGGTACAGGTCGCAATTTTCAAGATAATTGGATGAAATTTGGCATGCACGTTTTATTTGACCCAAGGACGAAGCCTATTGAAAATGGTTAAAATCGGTCCATTATTTCACCTAGCCCCTATAGAACAGAACCCCCCGAAAAGGTCTTCTGAGCTCATAATTATGTTAAATATACAGATATATCGATAAAATACGGCACAACTAAGTTTTATAGAAGTCTTGATGACCCTGCCAAATTTCATAAAGATCGGGCCCCATTTGACCCTAGCTCCCATACAAAGCCCCCTTCAGAAAATTACTTGAATGTCCCAAATTAACTTATAAACACAAATATCGCGATGAAATTCAGCACAATAAAATATTATGTAAATATAAATATATTCACAAAATTTTATCGGGCTTGGTCTATATTTGCCCCTAGCCCCCATATAAAGCCTCTTTCAGAAAATTAGTTTTTCATCCATAAATTGCTTAAATGTATCGGAACAAGGGAATATTGAAAATAAATGCTTTACTATGAAAAATAAATCACATTTAATATTCATAACTGGTGTAGGGTATCATATGGTCGGACTCGCCCGACTATACTTTCTTACTTGTTTTTATCGTATTTATTAAAGTAAACACAACACATACATATACAAAAACTACAATTTATAGAGTAAAAAAGTTTTATTTATTTATTCTAGGGAGAGTGAGCTATTTGTTTTGTTTTTTGGTTGAATTATTGATTGTTATCAGCCGGCCGGTTTATGATATATTTGTTGTTGTTGTTGAAGTCTCAGTGATTAGTATTTTAATGTCAGTAGACATGATTAAAGTTAAATTAAAAAAATGAAGTAGACTATTTTGAAATTCTTGCGATTATTACGAATACTTATGGTGACAAGAAATTTATGAAACAAAAGATGACTATTATTAATGAAACATTTTATAAACAGCAGGTCCTTCATGTAATAATCTAAGCATACAAATTGTAAAAATATCCATAATAAGTAATAATGTCTAAACAGGTTCTGCCAAAAACTATTTATGTTAACTTTTTACGACATGAATGAAACTATTGGTATAAAAATAATGGGGTAATGATAACTAATTACATGTAATTGCAACTTTTTGCAATTACAATTATTTGTAATATAATAAATAATAAAGTCATTGAAATAATCAATTACAAGT